TCATAAATACAGCATTGCTATTACGATGATTTCAAGGATTATTCCGATCCACGTCGATTAGTGATTTAATTCTCATCGATTCATATAAACTTTATCCTTCGTAAGAGGCTTTATACAGACTTATGTCCAGATTTATTGTCTGACAATCTTCGAGTTGTGTCGCCATTGGCGGCTTGATTGAATTCAAAGTGAGCTTGATGCTTACTACGCTAGCTAGCGTAATATTGTAGGTGTTGTCAGTGATAAAATGATAATTTTGTACACCGTAAAAATTGAAAGAGAAGTTACTGATGTTTTGAATGTTAGTCTTCTAACCAAAAGCATCATTTGGGGTCCCTRTGGTATAGCTCGACCTTGACAGACATAGATAGATTGAAGAAAAGGTAAAACTAAAGGCGGGCGCATACTGCTAGCCTGCCTAATAAACCGCTGTTTTATTTGACAGCAGATTCTCTTTCCTACTTTAGAAAATTTTGTTGATGAATAATAYTAATAATAAACACCCAGTTTCTGCAGGCAACTATCACAGCATAATTCAACTGCTCTATTGGTTTAAATAGATGGATATGACATGTATTTGCAAGGCAATCCTAACCTGAGCAGGATGCTTTCCTGATTGGTCCACAACAGTACCAGCTCCTTGAACGGCCAGTGCTGCAAACTTCATGGCTATAGGTCTTGGTAACCCAGCCTTGACAGCTCCGTCAGCCAATGATTCAATAACAAGACATGCGAACGCTGAGCCACTCCCACTTAATGATGCAATAATGTCAACATATGGTTCTTTCATCTCTTCAACATATCCTGAAATATTAAAAACAGGGATATAATTACTAGTAAGCTTACAAAGTTGCAGAGGAACAAGGGATGAAAGGCCTTTTGTCTTTTTGTCTGAAACATCACAAGCCGATTGGAATTTATCTTGTGATTGGTTGAGAAAACAATGGAAAAACAATAGATGCTCTTACAAAAAAAGAAAGCGTAGTCTAAGAAAAGAAGTTTAGAACCAAAGAACTTATTTTGGTGGTTAAAATAATTTGTCTGTTATATTCCTAATGTGTAATAGGAATTTTTATATATTTTTTCTATAAAACTTTCAGAGCTTTTATAATTATACATTTTTGGTATTATCATGGTGTTTTCTTTTGCCATAATTATGGGTTCAACAATATGATGTGCTTGCTAGTTGCAGTCATTTAGGGCATTCCTCTATGTTTATCAATCTATTTCTATGTTAGCTGAACAATAAAAGTGTTGATAATGATTATCATAATGATAATAACCTGTTGTTGACATCAGTTTATGGACCATCGCTGCATCTTCCCTTGTTGCCATGCTACCGCATACAAATGCTGAGGCACCTTTCTGTACAGAACATGGAAGACTTGGCATCACTCGCACAATGCGCTTTACACCGTGATCCTGTGAAGACGAAAAATTCACTTTGAAAATAATGTCAAGTAGCAAAGAAACAATAATAGTCTTCTTCACGGTTCTCTGCGCCATCTTTTAGCCATATGCCTTTACATTGAAGCGAGACAACTGTTGACCGTGCAATGACAGAAACCTTCTTTCACACCTACAGACAATTATTCACAGGTATCTATCATTGCACACTCAACGGTTGTCTTGCTTTGATGTAAAGGCACGGCTACCTTTCAAGATGCTGCACATAACCGTAAAGGAGACTATTCTCACTTTCCTTCATTTATCCATAATAGATAAGTCTGGTTTTCACTAGTGACCATCAGTGACCATACAAATTGGTGAATTGCACCATGGCCTAATGGTCTTCTTCCTTTACTTAATAAATGCTATAGTTTTACTAATCTTGAAAGGGAAGGACAAATTAGAATTACAAAGAAAAAAAGCTGAGTTTATTCTGACTGGTTTTGGTAGCATTAAAATGACACCATGATATTCATGGAAATCACCTATTTGATAAAACAAAATTAGAAAATTGAAAGTATTGACAGTTTTTAAGCTTTTTTCTACCCTGTAAAAGTTTACATTGTATGTAGTACCTCGTACACTTGAATTTTCAGTCCTGCAGCTACYGATATCACCAGATGTTTGCTTGTAAAATCATTTTTAAGCTCAGTTAGAACACCTCGRATAAGATGAGGTTTAACAGCAAGGAAGACAATGCTTGCACTTTGAAGAACTTCTTTATTGCTCTTAGTTCCTATGCAACCTAATTTCTGCAACAAGGAATAAGAAGTGACTCRGAAATAACAAYAATAATTTATTATTCATATTGTGCAGRCTACAYATGAAGATGTTTGCATGCGCATGTCCAAAATTAATAAAAAATAAGATTCAAACGAAAATAAAATTGAAAGCTAATAATAATTACAATAAACAAAATTGTATTTACAATTAAAGGCGGTCAATTATGAAATAAAGGGTTTAAAAATGACAAATGAAAACAGGAAAAATAAAACAAAGAAGAAAATTATGAAAAAGATGGATGTAAATTTTAGAAGATACGACAAATTGGAATTAGTACAGAATGGAAAAAAAGAAGTTTGAAAACGAAAAAGTCAAATAGAAAATCTGTGAAAAAGTTTCCAAACTCTAAGATTAGGAATGGTGAGGTTGCACTATTAGGCATCAACCTCACATATCTAACTTCCTCATGTTTGTAAACTGCACAGCTGCTTAAAGCGCCTTCAATAGCAGTCTGACCAAGTCCCTCATAATGTAATCCAGATGCAATTCAGATCATTGGTCTGCAAAATCTGGAAAGTCGGCTACACATACACATAGACAAAAAGGTCTCTATCCCAGACAAAATGACTATACCCTACCCCAGACAAAATGACTACCCTACCCCAGACAAAATGACTACCCTACCCCAGACAAATGGGCAAAAAATGATACCCTATCCCAGACTTGGGGCTCCGAAAAAGGGACCCTATCGAGCGGCACATATCTGTAAAGCAAAAAATCAGGAACTCCTTCTGATTCAGAGTTCTGGAAGAAACCCGCTTATAACACGTGTATGAGGGCAACACAGGCTGCAACATTGAGTAAAACGAAGCATTCAAAATGTACTGATCTTCCTACCTGCCACCTCTCAACGCTTTTATCAGTAACAACACTGACAATAATATTCTTTGGCTCCACAAATCCTGACTTCATAATGCCCTCAGCAATGGCCAAAGCCATGTTTCCTCCGCCAACAAATCCGACACGTAAATCCGCCATCTTGGATTTTAGAGTACATTACACAGGAAGCCCAAAGAACGGGCTAAATGGGCGTGGCACAATCATTTAAGCGTGCAGACGAGCTTTTAGCCTGTCTCCACGCAAGAAACAGCAAGGAGGASAGTGACCAATTTAAACTTGCGACCTTCGAGGTTATAGCGAGACCGAAGTTCATGAATTCATGAATGSATCAATYGCACACCTGATGACTAATCAAACGTAATATTGTCCAGAGYTTGCATTTTTGCTGTCCAGCGTGACATTTCGCCATTAATAAAAATCTGGGCTTGAGATTGGGAAGGGTCGGCTTACAATACATTTTTGAATATATTCTTTTGGGCATAAAGTTTAAATASAAAAAGCAATACGCGAAGGTTTTACATTTTTTTACTACTGTGAAAAATTCAGTATGTAGTCGATGGCCTTTGGATAAAATGACGAAATATTCACAGAAGTAAAACACGACAAACCTTCTCATATTGCTTTTTCTAAGATATGTTTTTTTTTAACGGTCCTTCGATCAACTAGAGACACGAAAATTGTCAATCAATGATTTTTAAGCTTTATCTTTTGACATTAGTAAGTATACAATAGGACTGATTGAAACTTGATGTCTTTCTAGCGAGTAAGGTTAAAAAACCTGCATAACAGATATTTAATACGCTGTAACTCAGTTTTCGTTTCCGTCTATTCTAACATCACCCATGATTTCCAATGTTTCACGGATTTAAAGACCTGTCTGTATCTGACATACGCTCTATATATAGTTTGCACAAAATATCCGTGTTTCAAACCAACAAAATAAACATCTATAATATTCACTGATACTTGAGTTACTGTACTGATAAAATAACTATATTTTTTCCATTCATGACTTGGAGTTTGCCATAAACGAGAGTCTAATACGTGAAGAAATTTCAGTTTACAACTAATTTCTTTTGCACTATCGAATTAATTTAATAGCAATAAAGCCAAAGACAGCAATGCAATTTTCTACTATTAGAGTGAAGTCAAAAAAAACCCGTGAAATAGATATAGACCCCTTGCAGTTCATGGGAATGCAGCTCCAACTGGAGGACAAAACAATAGATTCTAGTTCCCAAGAGGATAAAAATCTTTTGTTTTGTCCTCCAGATGAAGCTGTTTTGACGTCACATGCAAGGGGTCTATTACACTAATACACCCTAATGCGCTCTAGTTGCATTGTTTTCTTTTGTTTCTATTTGACTATCACACTTTAATAGTCAAGTTTTGACAGTTGTAGAGTAAATGCAGAAAATCCGTGAAATAATACAATGATATACAATCCATTAAATGGTGTTCAGAAAGAACAATGATCATACAAAGGTCAAAGATACTCCGGCTTCAGTTGCAGAAATAGTGCAAATTCGTACTATTTTGCCTTTTTTCACGGCTTTAGTGCATTCACTCTGTTGCAGTTACTGTACTGTATCATCAATTCATAAAACACAACTTCGTTATTTTTCCTAAAGAAATGCCAATCCTAATCATTATTAATAATTAATTAATACTAATAGAATATTAATCTAAACACATAGAGTGGTTCTCATTAACCCGTGAAATACACTTTAGCGTAGTACACGTTATTACACTTTGTCTCTTTTGTTTTCTATTATATTTCTTGGCTATTACACTTTATTACACTTTSACTATTACACTTTGTTTCACGGGTTAACGAGAACCACTCTATAACGCTCTTTGCAGGAAGTCAACTGACAAGACAACGACTACATGATCTTTTGAATATGAACGATGTCCAAGTAAGTATGGAAAACATAGATGATTGAGGAATATCTATTGTAGGTTGAGGAATTTGTTGAACTGCATTAAATATTTTTCTTCTTTTGACAGAACTTAACTGAACAGAACTGAATTGAAGTCAAGTACTGCAATGTCCTCATTTGACTTTGATTCAAGTAAAGTGAGTATGGCCAGGGAGAYGTCTGGTAATGGTATGGCTTTAGAGTTATTGAGGTTAGTCGCTGTACTCGTCGTCTTCTTCATAATCGCTTTCACCGGAATCTCCATCGTCGTCTTTCCCTTCTTCATCACTATCAAAGTCCCATTGCTTTGTTTCGAATTCTTTGGCTTCTTCAACTGTTATCTGATTAAAAGAGTGTGAGAATTATTAGAAAATCAAAAATGATTACTTGGCTGGTTGGAAAGTTACAGGCCGGTAGGCTGGGGCATGACAGACATACCTTGAAATTCTGGTGTTGATCAAAGTCAATGTAAGAGTCTGATCTTAATGCCAGGGCGTATTGATAGCTACCAGTCTTTTCTGGAGCTTGGAATTTAAGCTCAACCTGAAACACGATCAAGGTGTTAAAAAATGATGATAATGACGCATGACGTGATGGCTTAGGGACTGTGCAATATTTCTCAGGAGGGGGGAGGGGAAGGTTGAGAATCCAGACAGGGGGAGGTGGGCAAAAATCTAATTTTATGTGCTTAATTTAATAAYTTTRATTGSAAATTGAAAATCAACGGTGTCAGATTCTGTGTGTTTTGCCCAAATACGTATTGAAGTGGAAAACTTCTCAATAAAAGTGGGTAACGATTTGCAACAACTCTTTATTCACGAATAATAAATAAATAAATTCACAGGAGGGGGGAGGGGAGGAAGAGCATAACTTCCTTTGGTTACCTCTTCTTCGTCCTTTAAGCTGGTAATTTGTTGTGGAGGTGTTATTAAAGCTGTTTTTCGTTTATCTGTTACATATATCCACCACCATTCTTGTTTTTCCTGGAATTACCAACTTTCATTACAAATCGTGATATACTTAATATTTAATTCTAATTTATCATTAAACTCGTTAAGTCCATACACAACGCTGGTGTTTTATTCATCAGTATCGTATTAGACACCACGAATGCAACAACACACAATTCAACACTAGCAAAGGTCTAAGTTTAAACATATAGTAACTAAACCCTTGTTAGGTTTTGAAGCTGACTTGTATATGGACTATTTCTATATGTTGCCAGATGACTTGCTCTTCAATGTGGGATAAAAAAATCATTGAAATACGTTATATTGTAGAAACTTGTAAAGCATTTGCCTGTGAGGTTCACGTCTTGTATTTTAGCACAACAGCAGCTCGTGTTGTAAATTTAACTTATGAAAAAGATAGTCCTGCATTGTATCAGTCCCTTCACTTTACGAAAATTTTCACTTTACGAAAATTTTTGAGATCCTACTGTCTGCACTTAACTGATACATCAACAGAACTTCTCTTAAAGAAAGCAACCTTCCCTCCTAAACCATCTTCCTACCTCTGGGAAATAAGGTGCATGTACTGTATGAGTTTCTTTGGATTTCATTTCTAAAATAACTTCATTGGTTTTGACGTCTGCTTGAAGTCGTTGCCATTCTTCTTCGTCTTCTTCTGGTGATTTACCAGTTGATCCATCATTAGACTCATTATCACTTTCTTCACCACTAGAAAAGAAATCATAACTCATGTCAACCAATATTTATAATTTCAGCTTCATCACCATCAGCACAAAGCAACGCTAGGTCAAAAATGAAATCAAGAGATCATCTTGGTGAGTTTATTTTGACATTTTTCATTTCTTGTGACCAGCTAAATATTGTTTTGAAGAAGTGGTACTTTTTGTGAGTATTTCTTACAGTGATATTTAGGATCAAAATGCTATATTTGGGAAACACAATTTAACTTTTTAAGGTGTAATGCCAACAAGCCTTGCACATATCGTCATGGATATTTAGTCTTCTTAAAAGAAAAGTCAGGAATCTTAATTTAGTGGAGTTAAACAATTGATATGAAGTCCAGAATTTACCTAGATTGCTCATCACCACTTTCTGAGCCACTATCAGCTTTATCTTCATCGTTTTCTTCTTCATTTTTGTCTTCAAGATCTTCTTCATGCTCTTCCTTTTCCTTTTTACTTTGACCATCACTCTTGTCTTTAGGTGCATTCTGTAACAAGAAGCATTATAAAAACACGACCTAACACTGAAGATCTTATTTTAATGGCAACGAAGTATTAATTGCCGCTCATGGGTGGATATTTCCATGAACAGCAAATATTTATCTTGATAACTTTTGGTCCTTGCGGCATACGACTTCTCCCTGACTGCAATATGACGACTTTCATAATGGTCGACAATAATTAGCATATTATCACTAAATTCATAATGTTGACAAAAGAAAAAACTCACATGATATTATCAAAGCTAAATATAAGTTATGAAAGTTTCACAGAAAAAAAATTAAATGATGAAGTTATAAGGGTTGGAAGAGGCACAAAATCATCAAAACAAGGCCACCAAGGCCTCAGCAAAGAATTTCATACGAAATCCTTGAATTTTTATTCCTCCATTACTTCGTTAGTAATAAGTCTATATCTTCAAAACGTTACACAAGTACTTATTTCTGATAATTCTTCCATATGACAGTGCTGAATGTTTCCTTAATATTGCCATCATATAGAATCGATGGTAGGCACTTATGTAGCACAGACAATCTTAATCAGTAATTAAAAGGTTTAGGAATAGAGGAATTGCAACAAACACATCACAAACATCGGCTAACCTCTTTTTCGTCTTTATCTTCGCTTCCCTTCTTCTTAAGCGGCTGTTTAACAGGTTTCTTTTTGACTTGTTTATTCTGTTTCGGCTTTTTCCCCTTCTTTTTGTTCTTTTGCCAAACTTTTGTAGCTTGAGGTGAATCCTTTAGAATTGAAGTGTATTGTAAAATACATGTAATACTTTAGTGTTATTCACAAATATTAATTGTTAGTCAAGAAAAGTTTAACATGAAATAAATACCTTTGGTTCTGGTTTGGCTTCGGACATTTCACTATAATCTGTTGTCTCTGAAATTGTACTTTCTTGTTCAAATATTTCCTAACAAAAGTGGATTATTAATTTCGTTAAATTAAATTCAATAGTTCATGATATTATTATTCACTGTAATATTGCATGCAAAGTACAAAGCGCACGATATAAGTGTTTGAACTGTTCTGACTTTCGTTGCATTTTGAAAATAGTGTCTTTACTCCAACGAAGGATTAACGTCCGAAACGTCAGTAAGTTGATTCAACTACTTTCTATGGTGTTAAATTTATCTAAGTTTTACGCAACTGTTAAGATTACAACCTCTTTTTATCCCTGATGATGGGTTGTAAATCTAAACATAGCAAACAAATGCAATGTGGATGAAACAATTTTTGCTTTATCAATGATCCCCAAGTACATAGATATTTTTTAACCATTAGACCATCGTGTATTTTCATTTGGTAACATACATGATGTTTGTACATGATGTGAAAAATGAATTCCTCACCCCTAAAGAACGTCTCTTAAGATTAACAGTGACTGTTACTATATCCCCAACAGTAATAAGAGTCTTGTCTTCTGTGTCATCAAGGACTAGGGCGAAATAAATAAGAGAATTAAAGAGAAAAAATAGTGCAAAATGGAAAGTGGGAAATTGGGAAGGAAAAACTCAGACAAATAAACAAAAGGAAGACTAGACATACATACCATGTGCTCTGACTTCCATTTCTACTAATGGATAACTCCATATTACATTTATAATGTCTGCATATTCTTCACCACTAAGATTTCTAAGGAGTGACCTAAAATAAACCAAGATATCCATTTATAATTATCACTTTACWGTTCATTRTGCCATCTTGAAAGGTGGAGAGGCCTTTGCATTGAAGAAAGACAAATCTTGAGCATGTGATGTGAAACTTCCTTTCACAACCACAGACAATCATTCATAGAATTAGMACAAATTGCAAGCTCACTTCAATGCAAAGTCTCAGCTACATTTCAAGGTACATGTAGTGCAGGCAATTGTGAAGAAGGCTATCACTAACAGAGAGAGTACTTTTTACAGAAACTACATTAAAACTGCATTGTATAAAAAATGCAGTTAAAGAACAAATTATACACATACATAAATGTACATTGTATGCAGTTTSTAAAAAACTTAGACCCTAGTTATTTGCACACTAATTAATAGTCTCCTTCAAGGTTAACTGCAAAATCTTGATAGGTAGCCGTGCCTTTACATCGAAGCAAGACAATTACCATTGAGCGTGCAATGATAGAAACCTGTAAATAATTGTCTGTAGGTGTGAAAGAAGGTTTCTATCACTGCACGCTCAATGGTCATCTTGCTTCGATGCAAAGGCATGGCTACCTTTCAAGATGGCGCAGGGAACGGTGAAGAAGACTATTATTTAGGTATATCCATGATGTACAACTAATTTAATTAAGTATAAAATTACAGTTACATTTAGTGTTGAATAATTTAAATTTATAAGACACCCACCTACGGTCTTCTTCTTTCATAGAAACTAATTGCCTTATAGAACGTATATTCCTCTGCAAAACAAGAAAGCAAAAGTTTACATGAGCTTCTTGATAGAAACAGTTCTGAGTGGGAGCCTTCTCTTTACCTTTTTTGTTGTAAAATGTCTTAAATTTTCTGCATTAATATGAGGAAGTTGCATTAAAGGTGACTTATTCTCCCAAAGTGCTTGTATCAACATTTGGTTTAGCTTCATGCAATTCTCTACAGTTTCCAGGCGAGGCATGTTGGACGCTAAAACAAAATACATTTTTTTAAGTCATTGTTTGATATACAATGGATATTATATCGTCAATGTTCATTGCACGCAATCAACTTGCCATGCAACAAAATTGCATGAGATGAAAAACAAGAAACATCGAACCTCAACTTGAACAGAAACAATGTTGCATGCCAAGTTGATGGTTTTGTATCTCGTATTTAGCCGCCTTAAGTAACGCTCATTCTACTTACTTCTCCCAGCCTTGGCCATGGCTATCAACTGAGATACACARGATATCATTTCCTGTACCAACATAGGGCTTTTCTCTAAGATAAGACTCAAATCTTGCTTCATGTTTTGATTGAGTTCCATCCTTGACAAGTGAGCATGCACAAGAGCTCTTGCTTTGATACTGTATGGATAGCACAATGGTGGCTCTTTGTTCTTGTCACCCAGGTTAGGAAGATCTCTCATTAGCTAAAGCAAACAAACAAGCAAACTCTTAATGATGATTTAGACGGTACAACTTTTGTCTACAACCATTGCATGAAACCTGCATAAGCCATCCTTACAACATGACTACAACTGTCTTAGAGATTAAAAACAATTGTTTGATAACCCTACGACAGTTATAGCCATGTTGTAAGGATGACTTAGTATTGTTGCATGCAATGGTTGTAGGCAAAAGTTGCACCGTCTAAATCAGCCTTTAATCAGCCAATCTTCAGTTTGTATTAGGTCTTTTCACATTGCAAGGGCATAGCATAAACATAAAAACTTGTAATTTGGGGCTTTTAAAGACAAAACAAGTTTTATTCCTTTATTGCTTTAATTTGCCACTTTGTGACATGTGCTATGCTTGTGTCAGTTGATCACACAATAGTGCAATAGACAATTATTCACAGTTATCTATCATTGTATGGTCGATGGTCAGCAAGGCCAAGCTGCCTTTCTAAATGGGGATAGGGACCATGATGGAGACTYTTAATCAACAAATTAATTTTATTTTACCGTTGGAATATCTATATTGTCAGTCTCCCTTTCCTGGACTTCGTTATTGTGTCCCTTTTCAAACTCAAGGGAACCTGCCAGAATCATGAGTATTCCTACAAAGACATATCAAACAATATATTACTTTTCATACACCTAATCAAATCATCACATTTAATGTGTTTCCTATGATGTACAGATGATAAAAATGTACATTGACTCAAATAAAAATGTAACCAATAGAGCAAACGTAGGAAAACCAAGACAAAAAAATATCAAACTAAATATAAACAAATAGCATCTATTTATGGCTGATTTACACGGTACGATTGTCTCGTGCGACTTGTAGTATACGACTTGAATCATGCAGTGTAAATGCCCCTACGACTTGTCTACAACAGTCGTACGCAACCTACGACTTGTAGTAGGATTTTGAACCACTGCTTAAAATCCTACAACTTGTAGTAGGAAAATCGTATACTACAAGTCGCACGCGACAAATCGTACCGTGTAAATCAGCCTTTACATGTAGACAAATTGTCAGTGTCAATGAACCAGAACACAATGAAGATGAATCCACATGGGACCATTTTTAATTCATTTTCATTGTGTTTTGGTTCATTGATACTGACAAATTGTCTCTAAATACAATAGCCGCTATTTGTTAGTATTTAGTTTGGTTGATTAATAATAACATACTCTTAATTTGCATTCCAGGAGTTTTGTGAAAGAAATAGTAGTATAACTGTGAAGTGTCCAATAATATTTGATCACAACTGTACTGAATTGACTTGTACCACCATGTACCCTAGAAACAAATACAACATAATATTCAATGCTGTTACATGTAGGTTGATCAAAATTGCTATAGTGTCATATTTTACTGTGCTGGTAAACTCCATATACAGACTGATATTTTATTTATCATTTTCTTTTTATGCCAATGAACTGTTACATGTAGGTTGATCAAAATTGCTATAATAGTGTCATATTTTACTGAGCTTGTAAATTCTTATATAAAGACTGATATTTTATTCATCGATTTCTTTAATCAGACTGCACTGATATCAAGTTTTGCATGGCTAAATGTATTTTTCGACTTACCACAGCTACTGGGAGGATAATCATGAAAGCAAGACCATAGGCTGCAAGTACCTAGTGATAATAAACAATAGTTAATACATTGATGTGTCATATACTGTATAAAATACATTACGTATGTGCGGGAGGCCTTTATGGGCATATAAAACTATGAGCTGCAAGCAAGCCGTTTTAGAGCCCATAACGGTCGGATGCTAAATTCTAATATACAGTATGTAGCTAAAGCATATTTTGCAAAAACTTCAAGATAAAATATCATTTTTGTACATGTATACAAATCAGGATAAAACTCTTGCTCATATAAAGATACAGTCATATCAATGTTTTTCCATTGTGTTTACCTTATGAATTATTAATGAATTTGATAACAGATCAGTATTAATCTAATTCATTCAAAAGTACTGTGACATAATTTGGCTTAATTTGTAATTTGAACAATGTGCTTACACGTAGTTAAAATATATAACATATCAAATTTTAATACTTACCCACACCGAATTCTCCTTGCTTACCAACCAAGACGGCAGAGCAATGCCAAAACTTGTTGCTTAAAACAGTAACACATGTAATGTCAATTAGAATCAGACATATAGTAATACGGGAAGTGCATGTACATCATTGCAAAGCTGACTGGTCTACAAGCCAGTGTTTCAAGTAATCTCCTTCAGGGTTATGTGCGCCAATCTTGAAAGGTAGCTGTGCCCTTATATCGAAGCAAGACAACTGTTGAGCGTGCAATGATAGATACCTGTGAATGATTGTCTGTAGGTGTGAAAGAAGGTTTCAATCATTTCGACGGTTGTCTCGCTTCGATGCAAAGGCACAGCTTTCAAGATAGCGCATGAAACTGAGAAGGCTATTGTCTGTTCACAGCAGTCTCTCCTATAGGTGTCCACACCAGCTTAGATTAGATTCTGTGCAGTAATTTGCTCTCTTGCTCCAAGGGCGTTTTCTCAGTTTTTCTCATTTCTTTGCCTTAGTTCTATCAATATTACTAAACTAGACAAATTAAGATGAAAGTAATACATTCATACCTCCAGGACCATCTGGATTACCATATTCTTCCCAATTCTTTCTTGATTCTTCATTGGTCAAACTAAAAAAAAATCCCAATCATTTTTCAGTACCAGATGAAAACAGTGGCCGCATACAAAGTTTCTTTTCAAGATGGCACCTGAAGAGTGTTATACATTTTTGTGCACTACTTTGAGAGTTTTTTTTAAATATACTCTATTACAGCAGAAACCGTTGCATCGCGACTTCAATGTTCAAAGGAAATAGTTGGAATTTAGGTTTTTCTACGACTTGGGGGCGGAGCTTGATACTAATCAGCCAATGATTGAACGAGTATTCGAAAACTCTGCCCCTCAGATTGAAAGAAAGAACAAAATCCAGACAAACTTCAAAACAAAGAGGTCGCGTTGGAACAATTTTCGCTGTAAAATACCTCTCTTTTGTTTGCCATCAAAACAGCTTCACCTTGAGGACAAAACAAAGGATTTTCGCTCTCTTGGGAACTAAAATTCATTGTTTTGTCCTTCAGTTGGAGCTGCATTCCCATGAATTGCAAGGCTTCTATATTCTAGGTACATGTGTGTTTTTTATTTCAATTCAGATTCCTATTACAGTGAAAGTGACTTGATAGATTGGTCTTACGCTTCATAGGCTTTAGCAATCCTCATAAACTTCTTGGGATCACCAGTTTCTTTATCTGGATGGTATTTCATACTAAGTCGACGGTACTGCCGACGAATTTCTGCCACTGATGCACCCTGGGATATGATGAAATAACATAAATCACTGATTGAAGT